GGGGGATAGCCGATGTACAAGTCAGCGTTCTTATCCTCCCAGAGGAATCTGGAACTATTCACCGTCCCCAGAGGAAAAAAGGCTCTTTGAGCCTGGGCGGGAGCCGATCCACGATTTAGTATCGAGAGCGTGCGTGTGGAGTGTGCCACTTGCCACTATACCACTCCTATAAAGTAACATGAATTCTAATCGCTATGATAATACCAACATTCTGCCCAGAGGGTAAAATAGTTGTATAGTTCCTACGTAGCGAATCTGCGGTGGGAGGGGGGTTGAAAGGTAGGCTAATTTCCGCAAAAGCCACATTGCTATTCCTCTGTAAGTTCTTACTAAGTATTCTCAAAGTGAGTTCTGTTTTCATTTGTATTCTCGTACGAGTCTTAAAAATATCTCAATGAACTACTGAATTGATGCTACAAAATCGGAAACCTTTCGAAGTTACTACATTTACGAGTACTTTCTCTCAATCAAGAAGAAGGCTGAGAGTGCCCCTCAAAATCCGTTAGCTCATGAATAAGTTCAATTTGAAGTGCGAGCTAATTGAAAGTAAAAGCTAAGAATACTGGGTACACTCCCTGAGGAATTGAGAACGTGATCATCATTTCAGAAACACTGCGGACGCTTAGAAAGGCAAAGTAGTGCAGGATGTCGCAGAAACCATGAGTGAGAGAGAGAGAGCCAAACATTGTAGGTTCTACACTCGAAGGAACGACTTTATCAGCTAATGTAAGTAACAATGATGTAGTGTAACAGAAAAAGAGTACAGGACAGGTTCCTGTGGAGTCTCCCTCTGCACTAGCGATAACAAGTAAATACACCGGTTTTTTCTTTTTGATGGAGTGAGTGCGTTGATCATGTTTTGAGGCTGACCACATAGTTAATTGAGCGGATAAGCCAAATAAAAAAACAATTCACCATTTCTCCTTTCAATGGGTTGCCCACACGATGGCAATAACCGGCGACAGCAGAACATCGATAGCTGCCGCCTATACCCCGTTGCGAGGATGAATTCGGATAAACCATCTTAGCATTTCAAGGAGGGATAAACCTCGGACGCTGTGATCACTGACAATCACTGAGCTGCTCACTTGCCTCGGGTGAAAAACATTACAACTGTAGTGAAGGACAGTAGTAGAAACTCGGTAGGCTCAACACAGCTGTTATGATAATTTTTCAGTTCAAATTCAACGTCCTTTTCTAATTCCCTCGACCCGCAGCTTACGACGCCCCGTACCACAGGACTGTTAGAACCTTCCGGATGTAGTTCGTAACATACAAGGCGGGGCATCACGCTCGAGCCAGCATTTCCAGTCAGGTGATCCGACACTACACTTTAGCATCAATCCAAACGAATCATGATGGTCCACGAACAGCTTAAAGGCAGCTGTTACGATAAATCCCCCAAAACCGTAGGATTAATACGCCTGGCAGGACGAAATTCCGCGACTCAGAGCAGGCGCTGCATAATGCCTTTTCCAAGGGAGGTGCCCTTATAAGGGCCCTATCAAGCCACAACATACCGACCCAAACGCCCGCCACGCCCGCCCGCCCACAAATGGACGACCGTTCCTGACGCTCTAATCGATTCATTTGCAAAGCAAATTATGAAGCGAAAGGATCAGTATGAAGCGGCTGCGGTGCTGCATGGATATGCTTTCATTTTATAGACCAGTACTTTGTGTGCCGGTTTGTATGCATGTAAGTATGCATGTAAGGTATGTATGTCTGTCCGTCCGCAAAGTGCTTCACGGGCTTAAATTAGTGGAAGAATGCTAACTTTCTGTTTTTCTCTGTGCTCTCACATTTGCACGCACTCTATGACCACAAATTAAACATTCTAACTTTTCACGCATGATAAGTGACTCATCAACCTCGGAGCCCCCCCCCCCCCCATCCCACTTAAAAGTCTGTCCACTGGCACGTTTTTTACTCCTTCCGATGCCTTGGCAGCATCAGTCGTCTTTCGTTTCAGGTCTTGTCTTCCGCGCCTCCAAAAACTACCAGTTGTCGTATAACCAAAGCCCAAGTGTTGGCTCGACGTCAACTAGCTAGGATATCCCAAAACTACACCCGACCCTTTCGTTATGAATGACAAATTGATCGACTACTAGGGTATTAGCATCAAAATTAAAATTCTAATTCATTGAGCCCAACACTGCGACCCTTTGAAATAAAACTACACGCTTGCCTCCGACGACGGTCCTCTCGATGTGAGAAGTGAACGAGTTAGCAGTCGTACTAGCGTGCCACCTTCTTCGCACAATCTGCCGTGGAACAGGGGGGGGTAGTGAGACCGGGTGCCATCTCCATGTCTGCTTGTGCTATCCTTTTTGGCTATCTCTCGAAATGCGCACTTCGACCACCAAAAACTCCGCCACGGAACTCGTTCGTGCATGGACAGGCGTGGCTGGCTGGGCCAATGCAGCGGCGCGGGTGGATCGAGAGATATGACTATCCGGCCCCCCTCCCACCCCCCGAATCCCCTTCCCCGTGCAAATTTTTGAGCGGAGAAACATGGTCAGTCTATGCAGTTACGACCCATTCATTCAGCACCTGCAGAGGGGCCAGGAAATCCTCGAAGCTGAGGGTAAACCAGTCTGTCTTCGAGCCCTTAGAACTTTAGTTCTTCTCGAATAAGAGCATCAGCTCCCGAGAAACCTGAGGAGCACCTGTGTTCAAGACAAGTTCCATAACCATCTATTTACTGTTGTGATAAACCAGTGAACAGAAATCAACAAGAGCCTCAAACTCACGAGCCACAGACAGGAGCCTGGAGGACGGTGTTCCTCCAGGAAGTATCACAGGAACAGTGGCCGGGTGAACAGGAATAAGAAAGGTGGAGAATTATGACTAAGCAAAAGGTCCCCCCAGCAAAACATCCATCAAAACAATCGCGTAACCCAACTAATCACCAAGAAATGAGTCAGCGTAACCGTGCGCGGCTAGTGTTGGAAAACATGAACAATTTCTGTTGTTAAACAAGGCAGAAGTAGGGGTTCCACAGAAGAGGGCAATGGTGATAAAAGAAGAAAAAATCGATACAAGCAAAACCAAATTTTAAAGTGAAAAATAGGACGAAAACCGTGCGTCCCGACTGATGAAATGCACGCCAGAAGACTCGCAAATATTGATAGTGGCTGGAAGATGGGCTTGGGATCCCTGATCAAAAAAAACAAACCAATATAACTTGGTTAGAATGGGGGACCCCGAGGGTTGCTTTTCTGATAGAAAATCGTCTACATCAAATAGTCAACACACCACCTCTAAGGCCCTTGTGAAGCAAAAGTTCACAGCCGCAGCTAAGCGTGCCATACTTTCTCGTTGACGGTGCAGCAGGCGGCGGCTGTAGAGAAGTCGTACCTTCGAGGGGGTCGTCGTCCATATCTAGCCCACGCTATCCTCAAGGTGCAGCATATGCGTTGATGCCAAGGTCCCGCAACGAAACACATACTCAGCAGTACAGAACAACCAGAAATGGGAGGGCGCAGATAAAAGGCGCGTTTGAGTATGTCTAGGCGCCTGGCTGGCCGTGTGGCAGCACGGGGGAGTATAGAGACAACAGTGGGGTAGCAGCCTCCTCCATCCCCGTACCCGTGTACTTTTGAGCCGAGAAAGTGGGACGCCATAGTAGCTACGTACCCATTCTCCTCTTACACGGCAAGGGCCGGGATCCCTGGAGGTGAGAGTGCAGTTTGTCGTCATATCCATAACTCTAAGACAACACAGGCAAACTGCTAAGACACTATGGCGCAACAAATGGCCGGATTCGTACAAACACGGAGTTCGAGCCGAAAACTCTGACACCTGGTTATCGCAATTTCCCTGTCAACGCGCGCTGTAGTCGCCTACCACTCACATAACACGCCACTTTTTCCACCGTGTCCTGCATTTGCGCACGTAATACGAATGTTCCATTACATGATTGCTTGCGCGTAAAACTCCGTTCTTGGACACACGACAGTTTCCAAGTTTCCTGACAGCTTCAAAACACATCGAGTCTTTCAAAAGATGTGAACCGCTGGATAACCATAATTTTAAGTGAGCCCTCTGAAAGATGATCGCCGTACAGCAGCGTTTCCAGAATCGCAAACTTCATTGCTATGCTGAGAAGAGGAAAGTATTGGAGCTAGATGTCGAATATTTAAATACTTCTGCCAAACGAGGTTTTTTTAGATGACACCTTTATTGGCCTAACGTTTCGACCTTCTCAGGAGAAGGTCGAAAGTTAGGCCAATAAAGGTGTCATCTAAAAAAACCTCGTTTGGCAGAAGTATTTAAATATTCGACATCATGCCGAGGTTTCAAG